TCACCCGCAAACGGAGCGGTTGCGATTTCCGGCGGTTACAGACGATTGAAAAATTGACTGGTTGAACCGCAACCGTAACCAAACTTGTGTTTTCTAATCGTAGCTTTCAACTTGCGTTTTGGTAGCGGTTTCCAGCGTTTTGACAAAAAAACTAAAATATTTTTATTAGAAATTATATAAAACCTTAATATATATATTGGTGATGATTTTGTTCAGTGTTATGATTTAATATATATATATATATATATATATATATATATTGGTGATGATTTTGTTTAGTGTTATGATTTGATATTATTTTTTAGGGTAAAACCCCTAAAAAACCTCCAACTTGCAAAAATATATACAAATAAACCTTCAACTTGAAAAACTGTCATTCAATCCCCGAACTTTTAACTTGTCACTAAATATAACCTCGAACTTGTAAATTATTACTGTAATAAACTTTTGACCGGTTTGACCACAATTTCATACGATCGGAAATCCACGTATTAACGGATTGCTGATGTCACCTTATACACATTATCAATTTTAATTTAAAAATTGACATCAGCAATCCGTCAATAAGTGGATTTCCGATCGTTTGAAATTGTGGTCAAACCGGTTAAAGGTTTATTAGAGCAATAATTTGCAAATTCGAGGTTTTATTCAGTGACAAGTTACAAGTTCGGGGATTGAATGGCAGTTTTTCAAGTTGAAAGTTTATTTGTATATATTTTTGCAAGTTGGAGGTTTTTTAGGGGGTTTTACCCTAGTTTTTAATATCATATTTTAATTAAAAAAAAAGGGAAAATGATATTTTCTTACACAGACTGTTTAAAATATGACTTTTTCCTACACGAACTTTTAATTTGACAAAAAACTACACCAAATTATCAAATGTGCCAAATTGATACACGAACTACCCAATTTAACTGCAATTTCCTACACAATCCGAATTGGGTGTTAAATATAAATACTACTAGGTATATATATATACATAATAAAAAATATATAAGTATATATACATATATACGAGTATGTATATTTATATTTGTATATATATATGTATATATGTGTATTTTTTTACTTTTTATTTTTTTATTTTATTTTTATTTTTTTTCAGTTTTTTCGGATTTTTTGTTTTGTTTTTTTAAATCTATTTTTTATTTTTATTTTTATTTTATAATTTATTTTTAAATAATCCCTGGAGGA